CTTCATTGCAATTATTCTTCATAAACCTCTTCTCCTAGTACCAAATTTAATAATACTTTTTTCCTCCAGAATTTTGATATATTTTGCTGGTTTATAGAGAGATACTTTGCCCGTCAACTTGTTGCTCATCCAAGTTGAGCTTCTTTAGTGCTTTAATCTTCCATCAGAAATCATCTTTCTTTGTATCTTAATCATTTTTCCATCATGTCTCTGAACTCCTTCCAGCTTCCCTGCACCTTTTAGATAACAAGATGCCGGGTCTGAACACCAGGTGCAGTCCCACCAGTCCTGTTTAGGAGGGTCCCATTACCTCCTGTGCTGCTATTATGTTTTCTTGTTCCCCAAGGTTCTCATTAGAATGATGATGCGTGTTTCTACAGGCAGAGAGTCAGGCACACTGCGTCGCCCCCATTTGCCTACAGCTGCCTTCTGGCTAATTCTTTTTCCATCGTGGAAATCTCGGTTTCAATTTCTCTCTCTCTTTCACAATGACTCTGTCTCTCTTGTTCTTTATAGTTTTTATTTTTACTCATTCTGCCTGACTCAGATCTTATTCATGTGTTTATTGACCTCTTTATTTTTTTTTCTGTATCTTGATCAGATCCATTATCTTCCCAGTGCTATACTTTCATGCTGGTGTTGATAGTAATCTCTGTCACTCTGACTGCATGTTCATCCATCTCTTAACCATATCAATTTTGTTCACACTTCAATGGTAAAAAAATATACATATTTCCTTATTTTATATAATGCCTTACCTTTTTGTTTTTTTTATCAGATCAATAAATAGTTTGACATTATCCTGTTAGGCTTGAAAATTCAATTTTATCAAAGTTGAATTGAGATATATATTATTTTCAATATTACTATTTTCAGTTCAATAAAATAACAGTTCAGTTTTTATCCACAAGTGATATAGTTTGTGGAGAGATGTGATAGATATATCATCTCTGGAGTAGTTACTGTAGAACTTATGGCTTGTGTTTCTTGAACACTAGTTGGTCATTCTCTCTTCATTCACTTCCTTCTTTCCTATCTTTCTTGCTTCCTTCCTCCAGTTATGAAATGGTTACTGAAATCCTACCATCTGCAGGACAGTGTGAAGGAAAGAATGCGCACTGGTATTAGATGGCCTGCTGTCAAAGTGAATAGCTCTGCAGCTACATCAAATCATTTACATTCTGTCACTATGTTCTCACTCATAACTGGAGTGGAGTTCAGCAATATGATGATTAAGTGAGAATAAGACAACGTTTTATTCACAAATTAGAAGCCTAGTTAGAGATAGAGCCATAATAAATTTTCCGATAATACTGAGAAGAACCTTGACCACTTGAAAAGTTTGTCTTTCTGGTTTACAAAACAACACGTGGCTCCCCATTGCCTACCAAATCAATTGTATCAAAACACATTCATAGTACACATGTGGTTTGTATATGACCAGAGGACGGAAGTGACAGAAGATAGAAAATAATGTAATGGTTCATGAATTAGGTAATAAAGACAGATGAGGACTAAAGTTAGAGGAAAATCTGAGTCTGGCACTTTAGATTTGGGAACCAATTTTAAACTCAATGACTGTTAAAAAGGGGTAGATTCTGTCCTACCACCTGGAGTGCTTTCATGATTAATCCAGATTCCTTATCACCCCTCTTTGACTTGCTGCAATGAAATATTTGAAGATGATGGCCTGGAAACTGCAATTTAACACCCTTCTCTACCCTCACTGCCATTTGATTTATGTGTCTATACTTGTTACGAAATTTTAGCTGAAAGTGCAGCCAGTCATTGTCAAAATAAGAGAATATCAGGGTCTAAGGTAAGTAAGAGGAAAAAACAGATGAAGGGGGTTAAGGAACTACAGGTGTTGGGTCCTGCCAGTAGCTGAGGTGATAGTAAAGACGGTGATGTGGGAAGCAAAGCAGGTAGACACTATAGACACAGTCGGTGAGAAGGGGAGAAATAAGTCACTATGAGGAATTTGTAGAAAGGGCCAGAAATTGAGTTTCTGATCTTAGTGGAACAGAAAAAATTCTGATGATACAAATCAGTGTGCTTTGGGGGACTGAAGTGAAAATGTGAGGACTGCTGGGCGTTGTTGAGAGGAGCTACATCTCTGCCCAGCAGAGCCTTTGTTGGCTTGTTTTGTTTTGCTTTGTTCTCCCCAAACAATGTTGATGTATGTACAGCATAAATTAATGCAGTTTATTTACTTACAAGCCTTATAAAATACAAGTCACAAGAGAAATATAAGATCATATTGTCACATGGTACAAAAAACTCAGACATCAGAGTATTATAGTGAGCACATTTTAGACAGTATACATAAAGTGTGGGCAAGGGTCAAATTATGAAGAAAAGGCGCATAAAATGTACAATGGGGAGCTGTTTAAGCATACCAAATTGTCAACTTATAAAAGCATCTTTTCAGGAATTTAGTCTCACTTGGAGAAACAAAAATATTTTGGTTAATATTTTGAATACAACCAGAATCTTTCATACAAGTTATTTTTATTACACTGTGCTGATATTTTAACATTGATATCAAAATTGTTACCATATTTGATATTGTTAACATAATTTATTTGTTAACTGCCACATTTTTAGTATTGACTTTATCCATCTAAGCAAATAAGGATGAAATTTTGTTATTATAAAAATAAGAAATAGAATAAAACCCTAGGTCTATTTTTTTTTTTAAATCAGACTAAAAAGGGAGGTTTGTGCCAGAAACAGTGAGACATTCTGTATTTCAAAGTGCCATTTATTCCCGAAGCATGTCAGCCTCTGCACAGTGACCTTCTGTGTTTATCTTTATAAAGAGTAAAGTAAACCATTATGCAAACACACTTCCATTTGGGCACTGTAGTGCCAAGTGTTAATGGCATCATTATTCCAAACAAAGCATGTTTAGAACCATTACTTTTTGTGTTATTTTTCTTGTGGTGATTTCCATAAAGTGTCTGTAGGCTAAGATATTTGCTGATATAACTATTTTCTTCTTACTGTCTGTTATGCTAATGGTATTTTGTGGTGTTTTTGGTAAACTGGTTGATTTACTTCATAAAGAGCTTGTTAAAAAGATTACTTTTTAATCTGTGCCAGCTCTCTTTCTTTGTGTGTCCTCTATATTTCATGAATATAAATGGCTTATAGGTGATGACTTGGGTGGAAAATGTAAGCAACTCATAAGGGGTTGAAATTTGCTCATAAATTAGTAAAATTCTTAAAATTTTTCAATACCAAACTAAAATATAGTTAGCACCATAGGTCTTAAAGAGATATTATTTTTCTGAAATGTGATTTTTATAACTTTATACTCTGGAAAATTCAATTATTCCTTTAAGTTAGAAGAATCAAACTCTATAATTCTATGCAATACATTGAAGTTGGAGATTGCTTTATTATCTTAAGAATCACTTGTGGCCAGGCGCACTGGCTCACGCCTGTAATACCAGCATTTTGGGAAGCTGAGGTGGTGGATCAAGAGGTCAGGAGATAGAGACCATCCTAGTCAATGTGGTGAAACCCTGTCTCTACTAAAAATACAAAAATTAGCCAGGTGTGGTGGTGCGTGCCTGTAGTCCCAGTTACTCAGAAGGCTGAGGCCGGAGAATTGCTTGAACCCTGAAGGTGGAGGATGCAGTGAGCCGAGATCTTGCCACTGCACCCTAGCCTGGGAGACAGAGCGAGACTTCATCTAAAAAAAAATCACTTATATTACAGCATAATGCAAGATAAATTAAAATATTATTTTGTCTACGTTTCTAAGCATATATATATACACACACACACACACGTAACAAATAGGTGATAAAACTAACAATTATCAGAAGAAAAATAAAAATAACTGGATAAGCCAGTGCACATTTGGACTTAGAAGCACATCAGCTAAAATAAAAGGAATTGTGTAAGTGTGACATAAGTCATATTGTTCATTCATATTCGCAAGAGCTCAGCATTTAATTGTCGTTTACTGAGGTGCTACAATTTTATGAGATGTCAAGGGTTCATTACTTGCTGCTGTATGATAAATGCAAATATTATCTCTGGCAATATTAGACATTTTATAATTTATACTCTGTTGAAGAGCTAACCCCCATTAGAAATAAATATATAACTAAAATAAAACATGAATATAGGTAAGTATGACATCTCTAAAAGGTAAATAAATTATTGTTTATTATATATTTTTTAAATAATAGGTTTATTTTATAGTATCTAAATGTATAAGTGAATCATTTGTAAAATGTCTTTAATTAACACCATCAGTTGGACCTGTTCCCTGATTTGTCTATTATTTAAGATTTGTGTCTTTGGCATGTTACACCCCTGTTGGAAGTACATTAAGTTTCAGTATGACTAAATGTTATCAGGGGTTTAATATGTACCTATGGAAAACAAAATAACTAATGGACCCTCAGGGAGATTAAAACTAAGATGATAGCCTCATAAGCACTAAACTCTAATGGATAAGTAACTAGTGTCCAACAGATTTAGTGCACAGTAAGTCATCTATTTTGTTATATATTTTTATCCCTTAGCAATATATATATTTAAGTTACAAGAGAAAATACAAATATTTTTATTCTGCTAGAGTGTTTAGGGGTAATGTATATGGATATCACTGTCCTGCTTTGAAAAAAATATTTTAAGTCGGATGGATTGGCAGGAATGTATAATGTGAAAATAAAGCAAATGTCAAAAAAAAAGAGTGATTGTAGAATCTAGGTGTGGGTATACAGATGCTTTTTGTATACTTCAACTTTTCTGTATGTGTGAAAATTTTTATAATAAAATGTTTGAAAAATCTTCGCAATGCAAGATCATTACATTATTTTTAAAGCAATCAATTTGAAAAACTGTGGAGATGACAGTAATAACATGACACAATTTTTTATATGTAGAAGGACAAGTTGTGCTTTATCTTTAAATGAATACCTTTAAAAATAATGACATCTGAGCTTAGCTAAATTCTTTTCAGATTTTTGCATATTTTTGTAAAAAGCTTTTACTCTTTTCTCTTTAGATTATGTGTTCAAACCTAATTATCTTTTATGGTTGTCTATTATTTAGGGCCAACCTAAACTTATCACCTTGTGTTGTATTTTAGTCAATGCACTTATTCAGTTTTATGGTTCTCTCTGGTACATTTACAAAGTGCATTTTATACTCCACTTCTAGTTTCCTATAAACAAGGAAACAGTCTGTTCTACTGTATTTCAAATCACTGCCATCCTGACCATTACTTCATTTGCAATAAAAGTCACAAACTGTGCAAGTGCATTTCATACATGTTCATTTCCAAGGTGTTAATAAGTAGATGTCTGGTCAGCCTTGGTACAGAGAAGGTGACAGACCTCCCCACATGGTAGGGTTTTTATGAGGTTTGATGGGATACCAAGAGTATGCTTCCCTGCCATTTCCTTGAGGCTCCCTTCAATGGGAACGTCCATGTTTGTTCCATCTTTCTAAAAAATAAAATAAGGTTTCTACTGAAAGGTAAATGTTATCAACCACTAAGAGTTATTAATAACTGAGCATGATGAATGTATATTCTAGTCAGCCCTGAGAAAACTGGGCATGATGAGAGTTTGGAACTTGGGAATTCTCTGTAGTGTCTGAACATTCCTTGGTTTAGCAGGCACAGGAAATATGATGACTTGGAGGTCAGGCAAGCAGAAGCAAGCAGTAAGCACTCTTAGCAGTAAGGAGCAGCTAAGGGTTTCTGTGACGGTTGATTTCATGTGTCCACTTGACTGGGCCACGGGGTGCCCGGACATTTGGGCAAATATTCTGGATTTGTCTGAGAGGGCATTTTTGGATAAGATCAACATATGAATTGGTAGACTGAGTAAAGCAGATTGTTGTGTCTCCTGTTGTGGGTCTCACCCAATCAGTTGAAGACCTAATAGAACAAAAAGCTTGACGTTCCCACAAGTGGGAGGTAATTTCCTCTTGCCTGACTACCTTGAGCTGGGATATTTATTTTTCTGCCTTTGGACTTGAACTGAAACGTCTGCCCTTATTGGTCCTGGAACGTGAAGGTGTTTGGACTGGAACTGTAGTATTATCTGTCCTGTTTTTCAGGCCTTCACACTTGGACTAGAACTATAACATCTGCTGTCCTGGTTCCCAGGCTTTTGAACATACACCATTGGTTCTCCTGAATCTTCACCTTGCCAACTGCATATCTTGGGAGTCGTCAGCCTCAATAATTATGTGAGTTAGTCTCTTAAATAAACCTCAATAGATAGATAGATAGATAGATGGATAGATGCATGTATTCTCCTATTTGTTCTGTTTCTCTGAATAATTCTAATACACTGTCCTTGGGCTGATGTGATTGGAGAGGAAGCACTCTACAGGACGGTTCGTTAGGGCAAACTTTGGATCATCTATGTCCACACTACATACGATGTTATTTCTAGACATGATCACTCCAAGACCTTGGAATGCAAATAATGATTGGGTCTCTGCTGTATCAATGACTCTCAAAACAAATATAGTGTAAAGTAATTGTAATGCTTTGAGTCCTGTTAGTTATATACAGTTGATCCTTTAACAACATGAGTTTAAACTGGGTGGGTTCACTTATATTAGAATATTTTTTTTTCCAAACAGATACAGTATTCTCAGGATGCAAAACCTGCTTATACTGAAGGCAGTCTTCTTATATAGCAGGGTTCTGCAGGGAGGACTGTGGGAGAATGTTGCACACGTGGGCATATGGGAATGGCAGAGATCCTGGAACCAATCTTTGGTGTGTATCAAGGGATGACTATACATTATAATGTTGCCATTACATTAGTAATCACCTGCAAATAGTTATTTACCTCTCTCAGAATTAGCAGACATAGCTTTCTTGTGATTTCTTGATTTAAACATGTCACAGTGTCCCAGTTCCTTAGGCTGCTGGACTTGACTTTGACTTCTATCAGTGACTACTTTTGCTTCAGCTCCAGAGCTAAAGATGAACAATTACGTTAGTCCCTTCTACTATTTTATTTGTTGTATAGAATAACAACATATACCATGTAAGCACCAAGTAATTTATCAGTTTCTAATCCTAATACATGTGTGTATTTGTTTTATAAAATAAACTCTTTCAATAGAAATTATTTTGATGAGATTATTAATCTATGTTTGAAGACACTTTGCTTGTATGTAATCTTGGCAATGCTCTGTTGAGTTATTACTATACCAAAAATCAACATCATATTCTCTTGTTGTGTTGTTTCATTGTTTGATAGGCATAATTAATAGCTCTCATTTTCCTTTTACTATAAGATTGTGATTAACATTTTAGGCACTTAGCCTGAGATCACTTTCATCCTAGCTAACTTGTCTTCTTCCTCAAATTAGACATAGCGTTGTCTTCAAATTATAAACTATTAATTTTCAGGCAAGAAAGATGATGTCTTTTGACTACCATATAATTTAATTTGGTGATCAGAGATCAAATGTAATTGTAAATATTGATTCCTCTTTTATTTGCTTATGGCTGACAATGATTCTTTTACATGCATCTTTGGCTTATTCTAACAATCAGTAATAGGTAATTCAGTCATTACTTATTTACACATTACAGTAAAATTTGTTTAACAGGTACTTGAAATAATCGAAACCAAAGATTAAGGAACCCTCACTCTGAACAAACAAATATTGTCCTACAAGTAAGTATAGGTATAAAATAAAACATAAAAACAAAACAAGGAAGAGGTAAATGTTTAGTAAATCAAAGGGAGAAAAAATCATAAAGTAGTTATGAAATCAATGATTATGAAATTTAAACAATTTTGTTTCATATATTCAGCCATAGAAGCTATAAGATAATTAACTATTATATAATTAGAAAATAAAGAAAGCATCTCAAGGCATATAATACAATTGTAAGAGATGTTCTTTGCAAAAAAGTTTTGTGGACTTTTTCATTATTTTTATCACAGTAAGGTCAAAAATCCTTTTTTTTCTTTTCTTTTTCTTTTTTTTTTTTTCAGACAGTCTAAACTTTGGAATTTTTAAATAGGAATTTAAAATTTTCTTCTAATATAATAGTTTAAGTTTATCTAGAACCTTCAGATCAATGTGATGAACTAAACAGAAAATATTATCACAAAAAGCTGTGCCAGTACAAGATGCTTTGAGAATATAAAGGAAATAGTACTAAATACACTATAATACACTGAAAATTGCATACCTTGATCACAGACACACACACACAGATGCATTCACACATCAACTACGATGTTCTAGTTTAACCCATATAGAAATATATATTGTCTAATCCCTAGTTCAGGTTAAGAACTATATTCTTTCTGGAACTGATTTGAAAATAATGTGTTACTGTTTGTTAAGAGTATGACACTGTTTTTGTTTGCTTTGTCTCAATTTGGGGTTAGGACAAATTTCCAGAAATCTTCTATACATATATAAACTTGGAGATGTTTAGCTGGTTTATTTTGAAGATTTCCAAAGTGAAGAATGAAAGAAGAAATGAGGACAGACTATACAAGCCCAAAATAAGGAATAAGAAAATGAACCATTTTCTTGAGTTGACAACACTTTCTCTATTCAGTTTTACATATAGGGTTTTTGCAGCAACTTTTTTTACATAGTTTTACTAGACTTTCAGTCTCAGTAATATCAGATAACGTCTCTAATTATATATGTGCAGTGTGTGTGTTTGTGTGTCTGTGTGTGTGTGTGTAGATTTTTTTATTGTAGGTAACAGTGCTATTTAAACATTTATATTGCTTAGTATTTGAGAAACTTTCAGGTGATATTAAGCTTTTAAATGGGTTAAGCTTTTAACTGAGTTAAATTGTTTTAGAACTTTGGAAACATTGTTTTAAAATATTATTTTGTTTGTCTAACATTTACAATAAAAGGAATTAACAAGAAACACAAAATAACACCATTCACCACAGAGGGAAGTCAACGTAAAGAAAGTCATCTTTGGATCCTTTCCAGTGAGGCTTAATCGTGGCACCACAATAGGGACATTGTTATGCCAGGTCTTACTTACTTCATTACCTTATACCTAAACTCAGAGAACCAAAACATAGAAAAGCTGCAATGACTATAATCTTCTGGGTATAAATGTAGCAAAAGCTGGAAGATACTGAAGAGTAAAGGAGACAAAATGAACGTTAAGATGTAAGCAATAAATTGATTAGTACATTGCATACCCAAATTCTCCTTCAGGTTTCAGGTTTGATTTGGGAAGTGATTTGATTTACAGGGATATATATATATATATATATATATAATATGTATATATATATTATTTTTTCTAGAAAAGTATTTAGAACAGAAATATCTTTCCAAGATTTTCAGTTCTTAGTACCATAACAGCTCAATTTTCTTTTTCATCACACTTCTAGGCCAACAAACAAATACTAAGAATTCTGATTTTTATAGTTAAGGCCAAACAACTTAATAAGTGTTTATGTCCTGACAACATAAATTAAAACAAAAAAAAAGTTTTACATGTTTTAAATTTAAATATCCTTAAATTACATGTGAATTACTTACTAATGGGGAGTGCATATGTGTTGGGCACTGTGCAGCTTCTCAAACCTTAGAATCGGATTGAATATTGCCATCCTTAGTACCTGTTCCACAAGGACTTTTGAGGACACTTGCTTTACTGAGAACCCAACTTCACATACCTGTGACCCCTCGAATGTAACCCCCTGGAGTGTTGAAATTAAGAAACAGCTTGACTAGTAGTTAATACAGTGCCTGATAAATAGTGAGTATTGTTGTGTTTATCTTGAAATTTTAAAATATCTTACAGCATTCCTGGTGAGTTCACTGTATGACTCCAGAGTGCCTTGCACATAGTTTTGGAATCACAGTGTTAGACTATTAGATGCTAATGTTAATCGTAGCCCCTGAATCTTAATTGAGAAGTCCAAAAGCCTCTGACATGGTGGAAGTGAATGGAGGCACTGTATGGTGACTATAAAAGCTCAGTATCTTCTTTAATCTCATTGTTTTCTGATTTTTCTCAGTCCAATACGCCAAATATTTCCTAGGATTTACAGTATCACAGAGTCTGTGACTGAAAATTTGATGTTAGACAGTGATGGTAAATGGGACCACTATCATTGTTTAAGGCAAGTGTTACTTTTGTTTTTTGTTTGTTTTCTTTGTTTGTTTGTTTTTTGAGACAGAGTCTTGCTCTGTCACCCACGCTGGATCACAGCGACACGATCTTGGCTCACTGCAACCTCTACCTCCTGGGTTCAAGCAATCCTGCCTCAACCTCCCAAGTAGCGGGATTACAGGCACATGACACCATACCTGGCTAACTTTTTGTATTTTTATTTATTTAGTTATTTATTTGGAGAAGGGCGGTTTCAACATGTTGTCCAGGCTGGTCTTGAACACCTGACCTCAGATGATCTACCTGCCTTGGCCTCCCAAAGTACTGAGATTACAGGCATGAGCCACCACGCCTGACCAAGTGTTACTTTTGTATTTTTAAGAAAATAATATTATCAGTGTTTATTAAGACATTTTAAATTTTGACATAGCATTTTAAGATTTGGTGTTATTTTGTGTTTCCTTTTAATCCCTTTTATTGTGGAAATGGTTTTATTTTTTGTTTCTTGTTAATTCATTTTATTGTAAATGTTAGAAAAATAAAATATTTTTTAAAAAGTTTCTAAAGTTCTAAAATAATTTAATGCAGTTAAAAGCTTAGCCTATTTAAAAGTTTAATATCACCTGAAAGTTTCTCAAATACTAAGCAATATAAATGTTTCATGTAGCACTGTTAGCCACAACAACAACAAAAACATCTTTACACACACACATACATGCACACACACATACACACTGCACATATATAATTAGAGACATTATCTGGAGACTGATTTAACTATTTTTTTTCAAAGTTTCTAACTATATTCAGAAGAGCTACTTGTTTTAACATTCCTGTGAGATGTATTGTACTGAGAGGAGAACTCTGTCTTCTCATGAGTCTACCCTAACTGCAAATAAACCGGGGGTGCTCTGAGGAAAGAGATTTGAACTAATTTTTCATTTTATCTCATTTTCGTGTTTCAGTAACCCAGTTAACTATATAAACACTGTTTCCTTTTAAAAACAAGTATCTTATAGAAATGTGTATTTTCTCTCAGCTAAGGACCTTAGTGGAAATCTTATCTGGATTATTAGGAGAACTCAAATATGAGAGTCCTTGAACTAGATGATGTTAACCATTTCCTGCTCAGTAAACTGTGAGTGCCATCAGTGTCCACACTGAAAGCTCAGAACAGAAAACTAAAACAAGTCATATTAAGATGAATAGTAAAAAATATAAATTGTTTTGTAAGTGAAAAGGGAAACAAGATATGATGACAGAGAATTCTTACAGATCTCAGGGAGGGTTAATTAATGATCATCATTAATAGTGATACTTAGCAGCTGTTTCTGACACTCTTGTGATTTTAAATTCAAATTTTTAATCTTCATGTTTATTTTTAATCTTCATTTCCTAGAACCTACTTTGCTGATCAAGTTTCCATACCTTTAAATAGATAGTCATCGTGATCTTGACCATAGCAGAGATAATATGATTAACTTTTGTTCATTGGTTGAAATTGTTTACACCTACTAGGCAGTGGGTGTTTGAGAGAATGAAACTCAAAGCTAGTGCTGAGTGGGTTGGTATGTTAGGGACAGAGTGCACTCTCCCAGTTGAAAGACGCCTGAAAATTGATAGGGAGATGAGGCAGGAAGTTGGTCAAA